TTAATTTTTTTTGCTTTGACTTATTTTTTCTTGGGCTACCTATCATGTTACGTTTTATTTTAGTCGACTAGCTATTCTCTCCATCCAGATAGTGATCCAAATCGAATTGTTGTGTCGCAGCTCTCGCTGGTCGATCTGGCTGGTAGCGAACGGTCAGTTTATTCATATAAACAAGGGTGTCGGGTGAAGGATGGACGTTTGGCGTAAGCGGCTTTGCCATCTGCACCAGTAGCCCATTCACTGACGCGGAAGGGCTATAGTGTGTTGAAGATAAACCCCGCGACTTCAGTGTGGATAGGGGCGTTCAGCTGCAGAGCTATAGGCGCTAAGTGACTCTTCAGAGAGGAAAAAGAGTGTGAAGCTCGCCCTAAGTAGGGACCGCTGGCAGCCTCGCTACGGGCTCTCCGCACCTGTTCATTTTATGTCAGCAAAGCGACTTGCTGTTACCTATAGCTCAATAGTGATTTCTTCGCGTCATCCTATGCTGATACGATCAAACAGTAGAAAATTCAAAAACATGGCGTAGAAATTAAACTCGTAAATCGACTCGACAGTAAATAGCCTTTGCATTTCGGTGGGTGATACAAAGAGGGAGGCGTCAGATTGGCTACTGGATTGGATCAGCGCGGGCACAATATTTCAGTCAAAAGGTAATAATAGCTGTTTGGGCCTATCGTCGCTGCGTGAGTCTACCAACCTATAAATGCCCGTGATGTCTGAGTTTTCCTTCATATATATTTTCTTTATTCCAATTATGTTTTAGAGCGAAAAGAACTCAGAATGTTGGTGATCGTCTTGCTGAGGCTGCATCTATCAACAAGAGCCTAATGGTACTGCGACAGTGTATTGAAAAACTGAGGTACCCTTGTCTATTCGTCCATCTGTTGATTATATAGAGCCTCTAGTCATCATCTCAGTGCCTGATATTTCAGACGAAATCAACGGTCTGCAGTCCATGAGACGGTTCCATATCGCGATGCCAAATTGACTATGTTATTCAAAAATTTCTTCGAAGGCGCTGGAAAAATCCGTATGATTATCTGTGCCAACCCAAAACCGTCTGACTTTGAAGAAAATCTGGTACGATTAACACTTCTAACTGCTGTGAATGATCGCTTCTGCATTTTTCTAGGCTATAAATCCTCTTTCCAGAATGTCTTAGCCTTTGCTGAAGAATCGCAAGCTGTTCGAGTTGCGCGTGCAGACGATCGCTTAGAAATCGGTGATGGTCCTCGACCACCAGTGCCTCGTCGATTCTTTTCTCGCTGGAATATTGAAGTCGATAATATTGTCAGTCCATCGTCGTTATTACCATCACACAACAGGCTTTTCACGGAGTTCTTCATAAGGGTGAGGTTCCCTAAGTGTCATCAGGAATTCCTACAGAGACTGAAGGGTTTGTGATTTCAGGATTATAACGACTCCCTATCCATTTCGAATCTGAAGGAACGTTGCCTTGCTTTATCACAGCTAACTTCCTCCGAAAATCATGACATGGGAGTTGAACGTGAGTTTGCAAAGGTTTCCCCAATTAAGTTCCCCTCCGCCGTATGCAGTCTCTATGCTGGACCAAGCTAATGCAAAGGCTAGTACTGCCACCTACTACGCGCCGTCCAGGGTCGAATCCTGTTTAGTCGTCTGCCTAAGATAGCCGAGCCTTTAATCTCTCAGACAGGGTGTAGCATCGTGATGTGT